AAAAAAAGGGGGATGGCCTTACAAGTACTTTAGTTTATTGGCAGAACTAAGTAGGGGGTGGAGGGAGGTGCTACAGCGTATCTTCAAATTACTATTATATCCCCCAAAGTACCCCCCGAAATCCTTACCTGAGGATGGAATTAACATGAAGGCTGTATTTTGGCTGGGTATTATGGTTTTAATGCAAACATCTTGTTCACATTTCAAGCAATCAAAAATCTCTCTGCTGATCCCACATATCTACATTTTGGACTGTTTGGTAATTTTTTGGGGGATTTTTGGGTATATTTGGGGATAAATAGTTTTTCTCAAAGGATAACTAAAATTTATGGAAATAGGAAATTTTGAAGATTTGACATTGTTTTAGAAATCATTAGAACTTGAAGTTAAAAATTGGTAGATTTACACCAAACAGTTTTCCACCAACCCGGGGTGCCCTTTCAAGGGCATTCATCTGTCTGGTGATGTTCCAAAATTTTTTTCCTTTTACATGCAATCTCTCTTTAAACTTCCTAAAACTTCACTTAGATTCATATTAACCCCCCTACCCCTAAATGAAGCTATGCAAAAAACGCAAAAACAACAACAGCAAAAAATAGGAAAAACAAACGAACAATACTTGTCAAATTTTCTTACCCACAAAAATCCTAGAATTGAAAATTTCCAATGCGCAAAAGAGTTATCAATAATGATCCTAATCACTTGAAATCTGAATCCCCTGGGTACTAGCCATCTTATGATTCATGTTAAATAAATTCTGTGTGTAATTGTTTCATTTATAAAATGTTATCATGGTATTATATTTCTTACTAGGCTAGACAGTATAGTTTAATTAGCCCTATCTTTATTGGAATTGTGAGTTTCCTGGGGAATGAATTCTTGGCATTTGTAATTAAACTTGAAACCTCTTTATATTACCTTTAGAGTTGTAAATTTAAAATAAATATTTATTGTGATTATTGCTATTGTTTACTTGATGTTGAGTCATTTTTTCCCAAAGGCCGAGGGTATCTTTTATATCAATGATTCACTTGAAAAGCTGATGTTCGATGAATTAAAACACTGGGCTGGAACCCAAGGTACTTAAAATGTTGCTCTCACTAATAATAATATTTATTTTTAATGATAATAATTAAGCAGCTCTAAAAGTAATCAATTTAGATTCAAGAATACATTGATTACAGCATGATTTATTATGCATGACATAAATATAATAATAACATTGGTTCACTCAACAAAGTTTTACAGTCTTTAGAAAGATAGAAACAAGGTACATGTTTTCTATTTCTTAAGGATAGATTGCATTGTCTTGTTGTTCATTGCCCTGGGCCAGGCTCTCAAACGTAAAGTCAAGCCCACACCCT